AGGGTTGGTAGTGGGGCTTGAACTCTGGGCTTCAGAGCTGTCCCTGCACTCTTCAGCTAAAGGTGAGCACTCTACTGCTTGAGCCACAGTGCCACTTTCCGTTTTCTAGTGGTTTATTGGAGATAAGAGTATCACTCCTGCCTGGGCTGGCTTAGAACCGAGATCCTCAGATCTCAGCCTCCTGAGTAGCTAGGATTACAGGAGTGAGCCACCAGCGCTCGGCTATACTTGCTTTTAACTGTAGTTTGTAATGGCTTCTTCCTTTAGGAAAACCAACATACCGCATTTATCATCAATTCCTAGCTACAACTGTTGAGAAAAAAAGTCTTCAAATTCAATCAGGTTAAAACTGAAAAATTTCCCCAATGGCACTAAAAACTGTATGTACTCTCACATTTCCAAGTGAAGAAGCATTCACAGACTAATGAAAGAAAACTGGATCTTTCAACATACCTGCTGCTTATATGCTGAAATATTCTTCAAATTACTCAAGTTATGAGGCTGTCCTTCCATTTGAAACAGACGCAACAGACTAGAACTGGTATAACAATAAGCTCCACAGTTCTTACAACAGTTCATGATGAAATTGTTGACAGAGTGAAACTTTGAAAAGCAGGTGTTACTACAAAGACTGTGTTTCATGCTCTGGTATTTTAGTTCATATTTAATCTAAGATTAAAGAAACATGATTAAAATTTTTTGGCAATTAATAATCAGAATCCTTGTAAATGTTAAAAATTATAACTTACAATAGCTGTCTTTTGACATATGCTGCACTTGGCCAAAATTCTATTAGTACACATGGTAACACATGGCTTTCTTTTTTCTTCATATGACGAAAAACAAGATTGGCTGCAGTAATTTTTGGCAGTAGTATTGTCTTCTATCTGGACAGTGATCACATCTTCTGGGTTTAAAATTTCTCTAAAAATAAAAGGATATCATTAAGCATTTTCACCATAGTTAATCCCCTGAAAGTCTGCCTTGTTGTTTCACTGAGATAACAGTTAAAATCATCAGCCCTGAAAGAGAAAATTAAATTTAATATACAGTACTATCACTTCTATCAAGTAACTTTGGATAACATACTCCCTAAAAAAATTTCCATACCTATCTGTAATAGGAATTATAAACATATTGGAATGTGCAGTTTCAAGGATAATGTAACTTTCTTTTTTTGGTCTTGGGGCCTGAACTCTGGGCCGGGGTGCTGTCCCTCGGCTCTTCAGCTCAAGACTAGTGCTCTACCACTTGAGCCACAGCGCCACTTCTGGCTTTTTCTGCTTATGTGATGCTGAGGAATCGAACCCAGGGCCTCATGCATGTAAGGCAAGCACCCTACCACTAAGCCACCTTCCCAGCCCCATAATCTAACTTTTACGAATTGTTGATGGTGATAACAAAAAGATAACATGTGTGTGTGTGTGTGTCTATAGCCGGGTACCAGTGTCTCATGCCTGTAATCCTTGTTATTCAGGAGGCTGAGATCTGAGGATCATGGTTCAAAGCTACTCCAGGCAAGAAAGTCCATGAAACTCTTATCTCCAATTAATCACCAGAAAACTGGAAGTGGCGCTGTGGTTCAAGCAGTAGAGTACTCACCTTTAGCTGAAGAGCGTAGGGACAGGGCCCAAGCCCAGAGATCAAGCCCCATGACCCACCAAAAAAAAAAATTATATATATAAAAGCCGGGTGCTGGTGGCTCACACCTGTAATCCTAACTACTTAGGAGGCTGAGATCTGAGGATCGTGGTTTAAAGCCAGCCCAGGCAGGAAAGTCCATAAGACTCTTATCTACAACCAACCACCGGAAGTGGCACATGGTTCAAGTGATCGAACACTTGCCTTGAGATGAAGAGTTCAGGGACAGGACCAAGGTCCAGAGTTCAAGCCCCATGACCCAACAACAAAAAATTCACTCCCCCCGATCATCTGGAATCTAATTTTTTAAAAAAGAACATTTCCAAGTATGGTTTGTAAATTCTAGGGAAGAAGTTATTTCACAAATACTTTGAGGACTCTAAGATCAAAACTACCAAAAATACTATTTAAGATGTTGCCTTACAGAAAATATTGACCTGTTAACTGATATACCAAGGCCAGAGGGGCCAGCCTTGTCAGGACATAGTCCAGAACAAAGAAAGGATAGACAATTGACCAAGAGGTTAAAAGATAATAACTTGCATCAAAATAGGTATCAGGGGCTGGGAATGTGGCCTAGTGGTAAAGTGCTTGCCTAGCATGCATGAAGCCCTGGGTTTGATTCCTCAGTACCACATAAACAGAAAAAGTCAGAAGTGGCACTGTGGCTCAAGTGGTAGAGTGACAGCCTTGAGCAAATGAAGTTCAAGGACAGTGCGTGGGCCCTGAGTTCAAGCCCTAGGATTGGCAAAAAAAAAAAAAAAAAAGATGCAGGCCTGAGACATAGAATGATGGGGGAGGAAGCATAATTGAGACAAAGTTCTGAACTCCGTTCCCAGAGACTGCCTAAGTCTCAGCTTGTACAAGGAAATTCTGCCTCTGGCAATTGCATCATTTCAGAGATTGAGCTTGGATGAACCTTGAACAATGGACAAAACCTCGGGCTCCAACACAAAGATTTCACCAGCCTAGGCTCACACTCCAGCCTGAAGCCTTAACCTCCTGCTGGCCTGGGAGGAAGAGTTCAGCTGAGCCCTACAGGGAGCACCAGGAATCCACCAGAGTAGGACCAAAGAATGGGCAGTGCTCCAAACTAGAGTCCAGCCCTTGAGCTCAGCCCTCAGGGCTGAAACACCTACACACCAAAGGAGCATTCAAGAGTTGGCAGACTCTGCCAAAAAGATCAAATTATTCCTTATTGGGACAGATGAGGGAGAAGACTTCAAAACCAACCATTGAAAACAAAATTACAGAATTTACAGTATTTAACAAAATTACAGAAAATCTCCCCAACCTCAAACAAGAAGCTTACCTACTGACAGGAGGCATACAGACTCTTAGTATGACAGGACATGAGAATACTTCTAGATACATTACAGTGGAAAGCTTGGACTTAAAAAGAACAAGGAATTTGCCAGGCATTGGTGGCTCATGCCTGTAATCCTAGCTACTCAGAAGGCTAACATCTGAGGATCAAGGTTCAAAAGCCAGCCCCAGCAAGAAAGTCCATGAAACTTATCGCCAATAAACCACCAGAAAAGAGGAAGTAGTGTTGTGGCTCAAGTGGTAAAGCGCTAGCCTTGAGCAGAAGAGCTGAGGGACAGCGCCCTGGCCCAGAGTTCAAGCCCCACAACTGGCCCAAAGGAAAAAAAAAAAAAAATCAACCCCACCCAAAGGTAATAAACCTATCACTCTCAAATGGACAATGGGGCTAGGGAGAGACTTCTCAGAAGGAAAAGAACGAAAAGAAACATATGAGGAAATGCTCATCATCCCAGGCCATAAAGAAAGTACAAATTAGGACTGGTGCCCAAGGCTCACTCCTAATCCTAGTTACTCAGGAGGCTGAGACCTGTGGATCCTGGTTCAAAGCCAGCCCAAACAGAAAAGGTCATGAGACTCTTATCTCTAATTAACCACTGAGAAAACCAGAAGTGATGATGGGAAGGTGGCTCAGTGGTAGAGTGCTTGTCTTGCATGCATGAAGCCTTGGGTTCCATTTCTCAGCACTACATATGCAGAAAAAGCCGGAAGTGGCTCAAGTGGTAGAGCACTAGCCTTGAGCTGAAGATCTGAGGGACAGTGCCCAGGCCCACAGTTCAGTCCCCACAACCAACCAAAAAAAAGTGTTGGGAAGTTGGCCCAGTGGTAGAGTGCTTGCCTTGCATGCATGAAGCCCTGGGTTCCATTCCTCAGCACCACATAAACAAAAAAAAAGCCAGAAATGGCACTGTGGCTCAAGTGGTAGGGCTCAAGCCTTGAGCTGAAGAGCTGAGGGATAGCCCCAGGCCAAAAAAGAAAAAGAAAACCCAAAGTAGCACAGTGGCTCAAGTGATAGAAAGCTAGCCTGGAGTTGAAGAGCTGAGGGACAGCACCCAGGCTCAGAGTTCAAGTCCTATGACTGACCAAAAAAAAAAAAAAAAAAAAAGCGGGGCGCTGGTGGCTCACGCCTGTAATCCTAGCTACTCAGGAGGCTGAGATCTGAGGATCATGGTTCAAAGCCAGCCCAGGCAGGAGAGACTGTGAGACTCCTATCTCCAATAAACCACCAGAAAACTGGAAGTGGCGCTGTAGCTCAAGTGGTAGAGCGCTGGCCTTGAGCTGAAGAGCTGAGGGACAGTGCCCAGGCCCAGAGTTCAAGCCCCACGACCGACAAAAAAAAAAAAAAAAGCAAATCAAACCAATTCTTGAGTTTTTTTTTTTTTTTTTGGGGGGGGGGCCTGAACTCTGGGCCTGGCCGCTCTCCCTTAACTCTTCAGCTCAAGGCTAGCACTCTACCACTTGAGCCACAGCGCCACTTCCGGCTTTTTTCTTTTTTTTGCTTATGTGGTGCTGAGGAATCGAACCCAGGGTTTCATACATGCAAGGTAAGCGCTCTACCACTGAGCCACCTTCCCAGCCCCAAGATTTTTTTTTTCTGCTCAAGGCTAGCACTCTACCGCTTGAGCTACAGAGCCACTTTACCACTTCCGATTTTCTGGTGGTTAATTGAAGAGTCTCATGCACTTTACTGCCTGGACTGGCTTCGAACTGCAATCCTCAGATCTCAGCCTCCTAAGTAGCTAAGATTACAGGCATGAGCCATCGACTCTAATCCCCCAACGGGTAAATTCCAACAACAAATATTGGCAAGATGTGGGGAAAAAGGAACCCTACTGGAAGTGGTGCTGTAGCTCAAGTGTTAGTGCGCTAGCCTTGAGCTGAAGAGCTCAGGGAGAGCGCCCAGGCCCAGAGTTCAGGCTCTACAACTGACCAAAAAAAGAGAGAAACATAAATTGTAAGAAATGTAATCTTGAAAGACATATTAACATAATACAGGCTTTTTTTGTGGCAGATGTGACAGTGCAAACAAAACAATCATACCAATAATCTCATTTATAGGGAATTTTGATTAGAGTAGGAATGTAAACTTTGGAAATCACATTAAAAAACAAACAGGATTCCTTCGTGTTGTCTACAAGCCTCTTAATAATAAGCCAAAGGTGCTTCTAAGTAACACAACTTCAGAAAAAATGGAAATACAGAATATTGTAACCAAGACTTTAAGCAAAGGTATGTAATGAAATAAAAACAATTTAAAATTACATACTTTGAGCAGTTTGAGCAAGTTCTCTTGGTAGGAAGTGAAGAATTGGCAGATGTAATGTATTCAGTGATGCATAATGTAGAACAGAAAAGCTGAGTAGAACCTTTCCTCTGATAGGCAGTTTGCCCCATCTGGAGGATTTTTTTACAACCAGAGCAGGAAGCTTGAATAGCTGTGGTTGAAAAAGCAAAATTTTAATTATGCTAGAGAAACCTTAGAGCTTAGATAACTGTGAAGGTATTAAAAGTGCAAGAAGGGCTGGGAAGGTGGCTCAGTGGTAGAGTGCTTGCCTTGCATGCATGAGGCCCTTAGGTTCGGTTCCTCAGCACCATCTAAGCAAAACGAAAAAAGCCGGAAGTGGCGCTGTGCCTCAAATGGTAGAGCACTAGGCCTTGAGCTGAAGAGCTGAGAGACAGCGCCCAGGCCCAGAGTTCAGGCCCCATAACCAGACCCAAATAAATAAATAAACGTGCAAGAAATTTGTATTTTCATCTTATAGCTAAAGCATTGCTTCATTTTCTTGTTTTTTTTGGGGGGGACCACTACTAGGGCTTGAACTCAGGGCATGGGTACTTGTCCATTAGCTTTTCTTCTCAAGGCTGATGCTCTATCATTGATCCACACCTCCACTTGTAATTTTTTTTTGCTGGGATTGGATGGACAAAATAATCTCATAGATTTCCTAACCCAGTTGATTCTAAAACAGGATTCAGCTTTCTGAGTAACTAGGATTACAGGTATAAACCATAGAATCTGGCTAACAGATAATGTTGGGTGCTGTTAGCTCAGGCCTTTAATTCTAGCTACGCATGAAGCAGAGACCTGAGGATGACAGTTCAAAGTCAGCCCATGACACACAGATCTCCAATTAACTACCCTAAAAGCCAGAAGTCCAATTAAGACGCAAATGGTAGAGCCTTAGCCTGGAGCAAAAAATCTCAAGGACAGCACCCAGGCCCTGAGTTCAAGCTGCAAAACTAGTATATACACATGCAAAATGTAACAAAACAAAACCAAAAGCCGGGAGCTGGTGGCTGCTAGCTACTCAGGAGGCTGAGATCTGAGGATCGAGGTTCAAAGCCAGTCTGTGAGACTCTTATCTGCAATAAACCACTAGGAAACGGGAAATGGCCTTGTAGCTCAAGTGGTAAGAGTGCTCCTCCCCTTAAGCTGAAGAGCACAGGGACAGAGCTCAGGCCCGTTCAAACGCCACGACCAACTTAAAATTAAAAAAAAAAAATGCCTATCCTATTGATAAGCCTATAACAATGTTATTACCATTGTCTGAAAATGTAGTGTTTTTCAGTTCACTCTCCTGAGTTTTGGGGTGGTGGGCTTGACAAGATTCCTAAAAGAAATTAAAAAGTGATTAACGTAGTTTATGAGTCATTCCATTGAAAGTGATAAATGCAATTATTCCATAAACTGTACAACTGAATGAACTAAGCCATGTTACCATTTCCTTATGTCCTGTGTCTGATTACACCAATTTTGCACATTTACCAAAATGTGACTTTAGATCTTTATCAAGTTACTTTGTGTCAGAAAGGACAAATCTAGTCATTTAATTGGCTTCATTTTATGCCAGTTCCAGGGTTTGAACTCAGGTCTTTGGGTGGTGTCCCTTAGCTTTTCTACCGAAGGCTTGCAGTCTACTACTTGAGCGACAGCTCCACTTCAGCTTTTTCTGGTAGTTAGAGTCTCCTGGAATTTTCTGCTTAGCCTAGCTTTAAACCACAATCCTCATGTCTCAGCCTCCTATGTAACTAGGATTATAGGTTTAAACCCCAGACACCTAGCAAATTAGCTTTATATTTCTGAGGGAAAAAAGAAGCAAGATAGCCAGGCCAAACCCACCATCCTGTGGTCACTGTCCAAGAGTGGGTCTTGCCTGTAACAAATACACCAGTCATGATCAGACAAACTTCCTGAAGGGAGCTGAGGAAGGGTATAATGAGTAACCTAAATCAGTTTTCTGGTCCTGAGACCACTCATTTTTCTGATGGGTCTTTACATGATGTTTGTTAAATAAACTACGTTAGCTTACTATATAAGCTCTGCTCCGCTACTAGTTTTATTCCTATACTGCTGGACACAAAAACATTCCACACTCATACACTGTTTAATTCTAGAATTGAGTACATTTTTTTTTTGTCGGTCGTGGGGCTTGAACTCTGGGCCTGGGCGCTGTCCCTCAGCTCTTCAGCTCAAGGCGAGCACTCTACCACTTGAGCTACAGCGCCACTTCCGGTTTTCTGATGGTTTATTGGAGATAGGAGTCTCACAGTCTCTCCTGCCTGGGCTGGCTTTGAACCATGATCCTCAGATCTCAGCCTCCTGAGTAGCTAGGATTACAGGCGTGAGCCACCAGTGCCCGGCTAGAATTGAGTACATTTTATTCCATGAAAGTATTTCAATGAGTAAAAAAGAGGTTGGGTTTATAGACGGAGAAGGGTTAAAGAATGAACAAGCTGGGCACTGGAAGCTCAAGCCTGTAATCCTAGCTACTCAGGAGGCTTAGATCTGAGGATTATGGTTCAAAGCTAGCCCTGGTAGGAAAGTCTGTGATACTCTCATCTCTAATAAACCACTCAGAAAACCAGAAATGGTGCTCTTGCTCAAGAGGTAGAGTGCTCTTCAGCTGAAGAACTGAAGGATTGGGCTCAGGCCTAGTTCAAGCCCCACGACCAACCAAAAAAATGAACAAGGAGGAGTAGCTCAAGTGGTAGATTACCAGTCTTAAGTGGAAAAAGCCACTTAAGAGCTGAAGCAAAGTTCAAGCCCTAGTACTGGCACAAAAATCAAGCAATCCAAAACAAAAACAAACAAATGAATAACCATCAATATTACTTTCCTTGTAAAGTGCAGACCAAACAGAAAAATAACTGATGAGTTGACATCAAGTTATATTTATTTGAGGATAGAAGCTTGCTACATAGCTAATACTAGCCTCATCCTCCTACATTACCCTTAATAGGTGGGATTACAAATGTGCTAATCATATCTCCCCATTTCAAGTTACCTTTTGCTGTATAGATTAAGTAGAGAAATTTGCTAGCATGCTAATTGGACCTGGCCTATTTGGGGGAAATCTGACCTGTTTTCCATCTAATTTCTGAGGTGGTCAGGTAAAGTTTTTTTTGTGACTATTTTTAATTTTAGTCTGTTTTGTTGGGGCCAAGTGCTGTAGATTAGGAAAAAAAAAGTCTCTTGACTTACTTAACAAATGCCAGTATTGATAGAAGAAATACTTATTTTTACTACTTGTTCTAATCAAAAACAACTAATTGCTATTTAATTGGGTGTGATGATTCCAGAACTGGGCAAGAGTATCAGTTCAAAAACACCTGGGGGGGGCTGGGAAGGTGGCTCAGTGGTAGAGTGCTTACCTTGCATGCATGAGGCCCTGGGTTCGATTCCTCAGCACCACATATGCAAAACAGAAAAAAGCCGGAAGTGGCGCTGTAGCTCAAGTGGTAGGCCCCACGACTGGACCCAAAAAAAAAACACAACAAAAAAACATACAAAAAAAAAAAAGGGCTGGGAAGGTGGCTCAGTGGTAGAGCGCTTGCCTTGCATGACTGAGGCCCTGGGTTCAAATCATCAACACCACATAAGAAAAAAGCCAGAAGTGGCGCTGTGGCTCAAATGGTAGAGCGCTAGCCTTGAGCTGAAGAGCTGAGGGACAGTGCCCAGGCCCAGAGTTCAGGCCCCACGACCGGACCCAAAAAAAAAAAAAAACCTGGGACTACACAAAGGAAAAAAGGCAAGGGGGAAAAAAAAAAGCCCTGCCAGGTGCCTGTGGCTCATGCCTATAATCCTAGCTACTCAAGAGGCTGAGATCTGAGGATCACAGTTCAAAGCTAGCCTGGGCAGGAAACTCCATGAGACACTTATCTCCAATAAACCGCCAGAAAACTGGAAGTGGCGGTGGCTCAAGCAGTAGAGCCCTCGCCTTGAGCTGAAGAGCACAGGGACAGCACCCAAGCCCAGAGTTCAAGCCCCACGACTGACAAAAAAAAAAAAAGGCCTTAGTTCAGAATTGCTGGATTGTGCTACATGATTCAGTAGGCAATTTCATGGCAACTAAGTCTAAATTTGATGTATATTTGAATGTAAGTTAATTGCTAGATACACAGCATTCACCACTGTCTCCAAATCAATGGGAATCACGCTACTTTATATTGATCTACTGTGAATCACACACACAAAATAAGAGATGGGGATCTATGTTGCTTAGTCTGGTCCAGAACTTCTGGGCTCAAGCCTGTTTCTCATCCTCCCAAATAGGTAATTGCCAGTACATGCCACTGCTTCTGGTTAAGAAATAGCTCAGTTTACTTTTAACAGGTTCTTTAGTATGTGCTGTATCTAAAGAATCAAAACTTAATTGACATGTTGAATTAAAATCCCTTTGTAAAACTACTTCAATAAAAAAAAAGGGGGGGGGAGAGCCTGGGAAGGTGGCTCAGTGGTAGAGTACTTGCCTTGCATCCATGAGGCCCTGGGTTCAATTCTTCAACATCATATAAGCAGAAAATGCCGGAAGTGGCCCTTGGTAGAAGGCTAGCCTTAAGCTGAAGAACTGAGGGCCAGTGCCTAGGTCCAGAGTTCAGGCCCCAGGACCAACAATAAATAAATAAATAATCAAAACTTGTAAAAGGCCAAATTCACAGGAAACTGTTGGCCCATACCTGTAACCCTAGCTACTCAGGAGGCTGAGATCTGATGATCTTGGTTCAAAGCCAGCCTGGGATTATCCAAGAGACTCATCTTCAATTAATCACCAGAGAAGGAAGTGGAGCTGTGACTCAAAGTGGTAGAGGATTAACATTGAGCCGAAAAGCTCAGGGACACAATCCAGGACTAGTTCAAGTCCCATGACCAACCTCCTCCCCTCCAAATGAAACACCCTAAAGCTGGGTGCCAGTGGTTCACGCCTCATCTCAGGAGGCTGAGATCTGAGGCAGCCCAGGCAGGAAAGTCCATGAGACTCTTATCTCCAATAAACCACTAGAAAACCGGAAGCGGTAGAGCTCACCTTGAGCTGAAGAGCTGAGGGATAGTGCCCAAGCCGAGTTCAGACCCCACAACCGACAAAACAAAAACAAAACAAAACACCCTAAAATCAATACCCAATACTAGAGGGGACGGGACCTAACTTGGATAAAAAGAATCAAGAAAAATAATATTAAGAGTTTAAACAGTAACTAGGCAGGCTGGGAAGGTGGCTCAGTGGTAGCGTGCTTGCCTTGCATGCATGAGGCCCTGGGTTCCATCCTTCAGCCTCACATAAGCAGAAAAAGCCACAAGTGGTGCTATGGCTCGAGTGGTAGAGCACTAGCCTTGAGCTGAAGAGGTGAGGGACAGTGCCCAGACCCAGAGTTCAGGCCCCTTGACCAGCCAAAATAAAAACAAAAACAGTAACTAGGCCACATCTGTAATCCTAGTTATACTCAGGAGAATGAAATCTGAGGACAGTTGTTTGAAGACAGCCCAAGGAGGAAATTCTCATCTCCAATCAACCACCAAAAGCTGGAAGTGGAGGTGTGGCTCAAGTGGCAGAGTGGTAACCTCGAGCCCAAAAAGCTCAGGGACAGTGCCTAGGCACCGAGTTCAACCCCCAAAATTGGCAAAAAAAAAAAAAAAAGTAGGGCTGGGAAGATGGCTCAGTGGTAGAGAGCCTGCCTTGCATGCCTGAGGCCCTGGGTTCAATTCCTCAGCACCACATAAGCAAAAAGAAAAAAGCCGGAAGTGGCGCTGTGGCTCAGTGGTAGAGCACTAGCCTTAAGCTGAAGAGCTGAGGGACAGCGCCCAGGCCCAGAGTTCAGGCCCCACGACCAGACCGCCCCCCCCCAAAAAAAGTAAATACTCATCTACTTAATAAGAGGCAGTATAGTATACAAATTATAGTATACAAGATTCAAAAGGAACACACAATTTAAAGGCTACTGTAATTCTGTGCATCAACTGAGTAGCCTAAGGAGTGCAAAATTTTAAAATTTTTATATACCACGCCCAGTCAAAACCATATGTATTAAATTCATAAACAAGGTGCACTTGCTGTAGTTAGTTGTATTTCAAGTTATAAATAATTGTCAACTCTATAATATCTATTAACATTAACCAATCATTTCATTTACCAAACATTCTCTTCCATCAAATAACTTCCTTACAGACACTGCGCACTTAAAAATGTATCTGGAAGGCACCATAGTGTATACCTAAAATCCAAGGCATCAGCATCAGGAAGAAAAGTGTGAAGCCAGGGTCTCACTACCCTGTGTCAAAAAACAAACTAAACCAACATATACCTTGTAGTGGGATGGGGTGTGTCTGTGGAGATAAGGATTTATGTTTTTTAACCAATAAATTATTTTATAACTAAATGGGTAATGAAGTGTTATTCTAGAATAAGGTTAAATATTTACCTGAGCATTGCTGTTTTCTGTCTCAATTTTATCTAGCTGCTCCAGCTGTAGTGCCATTGCTTTGTCACACTCATCTTCCAGTGGAGGTTCTTTCATTTTAGTATCTGATGCAAAGTAATACTCCAGTTGCAAATTAATGATCTTCTTTCTGCAAAGTTCCGGAGTTCCTAGAACATTGGTGAACAGATTTACATTTCTTTTTGTGTGCTGGTCCTGGGGCGTAAACTGAAGGCATGGACACTTCTCCCTGAGGTTCTGTGCTCAAGGATACACTATTTTTCTTTTTTTTAACAGTTCTGGGCTTGAACTCAGCCTGGGCACTGCACCTGAGCTGATTTTGCTAAAGGCTGCACTATACCACTTGAGCCACAGCACCACTTCTGGCTTTTCTCCTGATGTGGTACTGAGGAACAGAATCCAGGGCTTCATGCATGTTGGGTAAGCCACATTCCCAGCCCTCAAGGGTACATTATTTTGATGGGCAATGGGAGAGTCTGACCAGACTGGCTTCAAACCTCAATCCTCAGATCTAAGCATCCTGAGTAGGATTACAGGCACACATGAGCCACAGGCGCAGTTTCAACTTAAGGACAGTGCTCTACCATTTGAACTACACCTCTTCTCAACTTTTTACTGGTTAATTAGACAAAACCCTCAGACTTTTCTGCCTGACTTGCTACCTTGATCTTTAGATCTCTGCCTCTTGAGCAGCTAGGATTACAAATCAGCCACTGGCGTCCTCATTATGCTTTCTTTTGGTCGGTTGTGGGGCTTGAACTGTGGGCTTGGGCGCTGTCCCTGCACTCTTCAGCTCAAGGCAAGCATTCTACCTCTTGAGCCACAGCACCACTTTCGGTTTTCTGGTGGTTTATTGGAGGTCAGAGTCTCACAGACTTTTCTGCTTTGAACTGTGATCCTCAGATCTCAGCCTCCGGAGTAGCCAGGATTACAGGCGTGAGACAGCCACCAGTGCCCAGCTCTTGCTCTCACACACCCACTGTATTTTATGTATGTGTGTGTACATATAATAGTGTGTATGTGTAAGTATATGTGCCTGGTACTGGGATTACCCGTGTGAACTACCACGCAAATTCTTTCTCACCTCCATGTTTGAAGGAAACAAAAAGAAAAACAAAACAAAAAATACCACTGCTTCCTGACTCTGGTGTTACCAAGTAAATGCTTTACAAACACACCCCCTTCCCAATCAAAGGCAGCCCAGTTACGATGCAGGAATAACTTGAGTCCACACCAGCTGGAGGGAGTGGGGAAGCTGTGACAAATCCAAGACCACCCACCCACCCACCCCGCCTCACTTTTGAAACTCCTAACTGCTTTGGAGTCTGAGACCCAGAGGATGGCGTTATGTGTAGTGAGACTGGGTAGAAAAGCCCGCGAGGCTCCATTTCCAATTAACCAACAAAATGCTGGACTGGAAGTATTGCTCAAGAGGAAGAGCCCCAGCTGTAGACCAGCGAGTCCGATTTCAAACTCCAGTAACGACAAGGAAATAACTTCCCCCTCCCCCAGGCTGACTGGAGGCGCCAAGCAACCGAGGCCGGACCTCCCGCGGCGCTAGCGAGGCCAAGGAAAAAGAACCGGTACTCAGGACTCGGTTTCTAGAAGCTCCACTCCACCCGGCACTTGAGCCTCTCTTCTACAGAAGATACCCGGTCTCTGCCCCTCCCGGTAACGCGCCCAAGAGAAAGAAAAAAAGGAAAGAAAAAAAAAAGGAGGGGTGGGGGGAGCTGCGTAAACCTTACTGACTCTTCTCCGGGACGCTCGCCAAAAGGAAAAGGCTCCAAACTTCTTTGGCTTGGAACCGCCCTAGAGGCCCGCCCCTTTCCCACCGTCCTTTGCGACGGAGCATGCGCACAAAGCAGCAGACCTGGAGCGACGACACCTCCCTAAGTTGTGATAGGCTAGGATGTGCAAGAGGGGGCGGAAAAGAGGCGTGATTGACGTGGTCTGGAATTGCCCGCCAACTTTGAGTCCGGCAAAGAAAGTGCCGAGTCACCGTGACTCAGCATTTCTGGCTGACTGAAGTGGGAGGGGGGCAGGATTGAGGCTTTCAGCGGTGAAGGCCCACAAGATGGACTTGAGTCTGGAGTTGCCCACCGAGGTTAACTCCAGCAAGGAAAAAAAAAACTGCCGAGCCATCGTGACTCAGCACTTTTGCTGGTCGATCCGATTTCACGGATTTAAGAGGTGTGTTCAGTACTGACTACATAGTACCAGGACGCGGCTGACTAGGAACTTCTTCAGTTTGGGCGCCTTTTTTTTTCTTTCGCCAGTTCTGGAACTTGAACTCAGGGCCTGGGCACTGTCCCTAAACCTCTCTGCTCAAGGTTAGCACTCTACCACTTGAACCACAGGGCTACTTCTGGCTTTTTCTGTTTATGTGGTACTGAGGAATCGAACCCAGGGCTTCATGCATGCTAGGCAAGCACTCTACCACTGAGCCACCTTCCCAGCCCCATTGGGCACCTTTTGAATACAGTGAAAGAGTCCTAAAAGTGTGTGGCCAAAAAAAATTACAGAATATGTAAAATGCTCATGTTTAGTACATTGAGACTTCGCATCCACAGAAAAGGAGCAAAGAAAGAGCATATAGACACGTGATACTTTTCAAATCACAATAGGATTACAAAAATATGGGGTAAAAGCATCTTACTGCAGTCTTGCTTTTCACCGTAACTTTTTTTCCTTTGTTTCTTTTTCCACTTCTTTGGATGGAAAGACTAATTTCAGAAGCTAAGTTTCAGGGTAAAAGATATGTTTGTTCTAGCATGAGTGATGCAAAGCACTCCCCACTCTCTAACCTAAAATAATAAATTTGAGGCCCTTTGTGAAGATGAAGTCCAGACCAAAAGGTGTTTCAGAAACATTATCATTATTATTTTGTCAGTCAAAGGGTCTGAGTGCTGTCCCTCAGCTCTTCAGCTCGAGACTCACATTCTACCCCCTGAACCACAGCGCCACTTCTGGTTTTCTGGTGGTTTATTGGAGATAAGAGTCTGATGGACTTTCCTGCGGTGGCTGGCTTTAAACCACGATCCTCAGATCTCAGCCTCCTGTGTAGTTAGGATTATAGGGGTGAACCTGGCTTTTTCTTTTGAATTTTAATTACGTCTTTTTGTACTTCATTCTATAGAGGACAGTCCAGTTTATCTGTCATTTTCATTAAGAAATGGGACAACAGGGGGCTGTGAATGTGGTTTAGTGGTAGCGTGCTTGCTTAGCATGCATGAAGCCCTGGAATAGCACTGTGGTGGCTGAAGTGGTATAATGCTAACCCTTTTTTTTTTTTTGCCAGTTCTGGGGCTTGAACTCAGGTCCTGGGTACTGTCCCTAAGCTGCTTTTGCTCAAGACTAGCACTCTACCAGTTGAGCCACAGCACCACTTCCAGCTTTGTCTCTTTATGTGGTGTTTAGGAATAGAAACAAGCCCTATACCACTAATCCACATTCTTAGCCCCATGACTTTCTAACATTTATAATGATCTATTTGAACTATTAGAAATAGAAGGTTATTCACTGATGTGATCTCTCCTCTTGCAACCGCTTTATTATCAGGGAAGTTTAAGAGAACAAAAGGTAATTTACTCAGATCCACAAAGTGATTTGGTGATTGGGATTAAACTAGAGCTCAGTAATGAGTGCTGGATCAATGAACTTCCAAAGGCAAGTTATGTCTTTATCACTAACTTCCTAGGGAGTTGATAAAGGAGGATTTATGATCTTCTAAGAATTGTAAATATCTGTAATACTTTTGAGATGTGTTGATATTTCCACTTTACTAAGAGCTAAAATTCAGCCAAAAGTTTCATCCAATAGACAAAGGTTACAAGTTGCCTGTGTCTTTCTTGCTCAGAAGGTTCAATGGCTTCAACTCACACAGAAAAGGTTTACTTTCTTGCTCAGAAGCAGAGAGACTAAGTCCTAAATTAAGGAACATAAGGTGGATTATTGAAGGTAGTTGATTTACTTCAATTCTATTTTCCATATGTCAGCTTGAGAAAAATGAGCTGGATGGCTTAGGAAATAACCTTGGAAAGCTAATAAGTTGGACCCTTGGAGGCATTTCCAGAAAGATGTATTTGGGATTTGCAGTATCTGCCATGCATTGGACTTTTTGCTACACTAGTAGGTTAGATTTTTTAAAAAGGACAGAAGAGTTTGAGATTGTGGTTTGTTAGGAGATCACATGCTTGGTTTAAAGGAGTAGTTGTTACACAACTCTCATCATTGCCATTCATAAATGAACAGTCTAGGGCTGGGAAGGTGGCTCAGTGGTAGAGCGCTTGCCTTTCATGCTTGAGGCCCTGGGTGTGATTCCTCAGCACCACATAAGCAGAAGGAAAAAAAAAGCCGGAAGTGGCACTGTGGCTCAAGTGGTAGAGTGCTAGCCTTAAGCTTCAACTGAGGGACAGCGCCCAGGCCCAGAGTTCAGGCCCCACAACCGGACCAAAAAAAAAAACTCAAAAAACAAAAAACGAATGAACAGTCTAGTGATACCTAAACTGCTAATTCTCAAGGTAAACTAGGAATCCATATTTTCATGTGAATTTGACTATTTAAAAACAAAACAAAAGCTGGGTACCAGTGGCTCATGTGTGTAATCTTAGCTACTCAGAGGGCTGAGATCTGAGAATTGTGGTTCAAAGCCAGCCCAAGCAGAAAAAGCTATCAGACTCTTATCTCCAATTAACCACCAGAAAACTGAAGTGGCACTATGGCTCAAAGTGTAGAGCACGGAGGCTTGGGGCTGGGAAGGTGGCTTAGTGGTAGAGCACTTGCCTTGCAGGCATGAGGCCCTGGGTTCGATTCCTCAGCACCCACCACATAAACAGAAAAAAAAAAGCTGGAAGTGGCGCTGTGGCTCAAGTGGTAGAGCGCTAGCCTTGAGCTGAAGAGCTGAGGGACAGCGCCCAGCCCCAGAGTTCAGGCCCACAACCGGACCCAAAAAAAACAACCAAACAAAAAAAAAAGTGTAGAGCACAGGCTGGGAAGGTGGCTCAATGGTAGAGTGCTTACCTTGCATGCATGAGGCCCTGGGTTCAATTCCTCAGCACCACATAAGCAGAAAAAGACAGTGTTAGCTGCTGTGGCTCAAGTGGTAGAGTGCTAACCTTGAGCTGAAGAACTGAGAGACAGCGCCCAAGCCCAG